CCCTCTGGGACTTCATCTGCTGTGTCTTGTTGGAGGCTTTGCCAGTCCAAGATGCTCGAACAGAAATCCACACTTTCATCTAGTGCTTTTGGGATTTTACCTATTTCTCTGTGAATACACGTTATACACGTATACGTATTATGGACGTTTTAAGATTTTATCTTTAAGCCCTCTCTACACCCAACGTGGGGCCCCAACTCACAACCCCAATATCAAGAGTCACATGCTCCAGCGACTGAGCCGGCCGGGCGCCCCGATTTCCTATTTCAGTCCCGGACACGGCGATTCGATGCGACCGAGGACACGGACACCGGGGGTGAGACGTGGTGGGCAGCCTTCTCCCTGCCGCCCAGTCACTCCCGTCCCCCCGACCTGCAGCCCTGTGTCCACCACAGAGCCCGTCTGCGTCCACCTGCCGTGCGACCTGCCTTCCCCGCTCACAGGCCAATGCGCCACCGGGCACGGGGGGTTCCTCCCGCTCTCCATCTCCTAGCTCTTCCCCCACGTGGGTTTTTCATATAAAACGGGAATCACGTTTTCCAGGTGGAAAATCAATTCTACCAGTGTTCTATTGGGATCGCGCTAAATGTAAGTAATCTGGGGGCAGCTGCTCTCATCACGTGGGACTTTTCTACCTAATCAGAGTCTCGGAGCCCGTGTGTTTCCCGCTCAGAACGCGCCAAGGTCTTTTACGCGTTTAGCACCTGCTGCAGACAGGCTTTCTTCCACTATGACTTCGAACTGCCTGTTGCTGCAGAGAAGCTCTTGATGTTTCCAGGTGATTTTCCGCTGTCCTGCTCTCCTGAATTCCCGTTTCTGTCCCGAATACTTCAGCGATGCGATCACATCACCTGCGAACCCTCACCTCCTACCTCCCTCTCTTCATCCTTCTCCGTCTTAACGGATGGCATTAGCTTGTGATGCTGGAGCACCACGGAGTAATGAGGACGCGACGCCCACGTGTCCCCTGACTTTACTGGGAGCAGCTCCAGGTTCGACGTGAAGGAGGCTGCGGGCTGCTGACTTCACACTTACTCTGTCACGCTAAGGAAGCACTCGACAGTTCGTGCTTTATCAACAGCTTGGCTTTTTAAATGGAACGGACGCTGAATTTTAACTAAATGCCCTTTTGGAATCTCTGGAGATGACCTGTGGGTTTTCTCCTTCCGTCTATTGGTAACGGTAACGATAACAATAAATATCTTAACACAGGCTGATCTTTGTGCCGCATTGAGTTCACTGCTCGCGTTTTACAACAGCAAAGAGAAGCATTTTGATACACGTTTCCAAAGTCCGTGTCAAGCCACTTCCCCTCTAGGACAGACCCACACGAGTGACTGTGCCCATTAACCAAAAGAAATCCCAAGAGGACTTTTGCTTTTATGCAAAAAGGCAGAGCGGCGTTCCGCGTGGCAGGGGCAGCGTGCCCGCGCCCCCGCCCTCGCGGCTCAGATCCAGCCTCGGTAGCTCCAAAGCGGGTCTGAGCGCCCGGGCTTTATCTGGATGTATTCTGTGCATCTGTTAGCAAGACGCGTCCTAAGGAATCAGAAATGCCTGAGAGAGGGGACTTTTTGGGGTCTGGGAATGCTAAAAAAATCTGCATTTACTTAAACGAATGGCAAATGCTTTTTGCCTTACGCCACTTGGCTCTGGAAAGACTTCTGAGGAACGGTTTACTCCCGGGGAAGCCCGTGATTCTGTACTGGTCACGGCAAAGAGGGAAGGACTGTTCTGTACTTACTGGTGCCAGAGCATAAGCATCGTCTCCTTGGAGGAAAACACAGCGATACTTATCAAAATTTTGAGCGCACGGAAGTTATTCACTGCAGCGCTCTCTATAGCGGCAAAGTTTGGAGACAATCTGCCTACTGGTGCCCAGGGGGCTGGCGAGACGGGGGGTGAGCCCGAGCCCTGGGCACCGCAGGGACGCCTCTGGACACAGAACGGGACGGGAGACGCAAAACTCCACGGTTACACTGTCGTGTGGAAGCAGCAGGCTAGACGCCAAAGCGCGTCTGCGCTTCTGCGTGACACAAGGGACACGCGGCAGCTCGGCTCGCGTCGTCACGCAGAGGCTCTGGAAGGACGCGTGGTATAAAGTGATGACACGCCGGGGTGAGGTGTGTGGGGAGGCGGGCACGGGGCCAAGGGGAGCAGTCAGGACGAGGCTGTTGGGTCTCATTGTGAGTCGTCTATCACCTACACGGAAACCCAAACCCTTCGAAACCGTGTGTGACTTCTAGCCCAGAAACCCCCTCCTGAAAACGGACGGCACAGACACACGGCACCAAGACTGCCTCTAGGAGCAAGAGCGAGTCCGACCCCGTCGTCACTGAAGTCGGTGAGCTCAGTGACGCAAAGTGAGGGCTTCAACATCGACAGCAACGTTCTCTTTCTTAAGCCAGGTGCTAGGTGTCCCCTACCAGGTGTCCCCCAGGTTGGGGGGTGTCCATTTTCGGAAAAGACCTTTTATATCTCTTGCCCGATAAAACAACTGTGAAACCATAAGCATCTATTCGAGGAAGCTGTGGGTGGCGCCAGTCGATGGAGCACGTGGCTCTTGATCTCAGGGTCGTGAGTTCGAGCCCCACACTGGGTTCAGAGATTATGTTAAAAAAAAAAGATTGGGGCGCCTGGGTGGCTCAGTCAGTTAAGCGTCCGACTTCAGCCTAGGTCACGATCTCACGATTCATGAGTTTGAGCCCCGCGCTGGGCTCTGTGCTGACAGCTTGGAGCCTGGAGATTGCTTCCAGATTCTGTGTCTCCCTCTCTCTCTCTCTGCCCCTCCCCTGCTCATACCCCGTCTCTGTCTCTCAAAAATAAATAAATGTTTAAAAAAAAAAAAAAAAAGATTTAAGGGCTCCTGGGTGGCTCAGCCAGTTAAGCACCTGATCTTTGGTTCTGGATCAGGTCATGATCTCATGGTTTGTGGAACTGAGCCCTGCATGGGGCTCCAAGGATTCTCTGTCCCTCTCTCTCTGCCCCTCTCCCGACAAATAAATAAATTTTTAAAAGATGTAGAAAAACTACAGAAATATGTGGAAAAGAGTCTGATAGATGTGTGTACCTGAGTTATATATGACCTCTAAGACACGCTGCTAAGCAGCCAGCGTAGAGCAGAAGATATAACTTACGCCTATTTTTGTTCAAAAAGCAGAATGAGGGGCACCTGGGGGGCTCAGCTGGTTAAGCGTCCAACTCTTGCTATCGGCTCCGGTCGTGATCTCACGGTTCTGAGATTGAGTCCCGTGTAGGGTTCTGCATTGAGCCTGGAGCCTGCTTGGGATTCTTCCCCTCTCTCTGCACCTCCCCCTGACCTCTCTCTCTCTCTCCTCACCCTCTCTCAAAATAAGTAAATAAACTTACCAAAAAAAAAGCAAAATGGAAAGAAGACGCACTAATACAAGCATGGAAGTTTCTAGAAGTATTGTGGAAACTGGTAACGAGTCAGAAGGAAACCAGCAGAGAAAGGAGCCTTTCCCCCGCATACTCCTTCAACTGCCGGAATGATTTTTTGCACGTTCCTTTAAAATTTGAAACCAGGGGCGCCTGGCTGGCTCGGTCGGTTAAGGGTCCAACTTCGGTTCAGGTCACGATCCCGTGGTTTATGGGTTCGAGCCCTGCACTGGGTTCTGTGCTGACAGCTCGGAGCCTGGAGCCTGTTTCATATCCAGTGTCCCCCTCTCTCTCTGACCCTCCCCGGCTCACACTCTGTCTCTCTCTCTCAAAAATAAATAGACGTTAAAAAAAAATTAAAACTTGAAATCAGTTAAAAGCAAGAGGAGCCTGCTCACGCGAACCCTCTGGGTGGCCCCTGAGCGT